GGCGTTTTGATGGTTATCATTAGCCATTTAGTTGACTTCGAGCTTCACAGAAGGGAACAACGTCATAGTGAGAAAAATTCGAGAGGGGGAACAGAAGATTCACAGATGCAAGAGGCAGACAGACATACAGGCAGAGAAAAAGGTAAGGTGAGCACTGTGAAGTGGTCGGATATGACATACAGTGGAGTCATATTAATTTGAAGTGAGAAGTCAACTGCCGGTTTATAGACTTCATTGCCGTATGAGGATACGTTGCCCAGGATCCAACATGTGGATGTAATCCTATCGCACACCCCTGAAAAGTTGCACTCTGGCATCTCCTCGGTTGCGGATAAATATTTTGCCTTTGGAAATATGTTTCAGAGAAATAAGGATGAAAATTAACTCCTCTTGACAACATTTTATCTTTCTTCAATGCACTTTAAGCTTGACAAATTTGCAGACGAAACCTTTATCTCAAGATGTAACTTGCTGCATAATTTAATGAAAAGTACTATCCATTCAAAACTCTCAATTTTGAGGGCCATTTCGTCAAAGGGACCCCCAAATGTGCCAGGTTATGATTGGCTATTCTATTCGCTTCATAACTACATTTTCCAATATATCAAAATGCAACGCGCAATTTAAATATTCAACGCAATACTTTTTCTCAATATTTATAAAATTTGTTTGAATTCTAGCATTTTAAGCCTGATTAGTCATGTATTTACTTAAAATAAAGCACCAATAAATTTTTTATCGGTTCACATAGATAAGAAGTTGAGTAACCAGGTTTCACTCACTTTTAAACGGAAAATATTTTTGAGTTGCTGCGTCTTTTCCGAAGATTTGAAGTTTTTATTAGCTGAGCGAAGGTAGGGCCATAAATCTCAAAAGTTTAGTGTGGAATTTGAAAGGGAAACCTTTACGTCTTTGGGGAATGAATATTTTTTATCATTCTAGGCGTGTAAAGCCTAAAACATTCATTTTCATGTAGGCTGTGATACAGCCTTCGCTTAAACATGAATTATGCAGTTTGATACGATTATTGATTTGACTTTCAGTCTAAAAAATTGTTTTAATTTATACTTATCTTCTGCGAAACAGGCTTTTAAATTAAATTTAGTCCTCTCATCCAAATAAATGCCACAAGTTAATTTTGCTTATATTCTCTTAAAATAATAGTATTTGGAAAATTTATTCATTTTAATTTCGTTGTTATTTTGGAGTGATGTACTAAATTAAGTTCATGTGAAGCGTCTTTATCCATTGTTTAAGTACCTGGAATAATGTCATCCCGTGACAATAATTTGGAATGTTAAAACCATTCTTACCATTTGTAATTCTGTAAGCCATCAGACTGATTACTAACTGAATGGCTATTTTGCACTCAAAACTGCATCTAATGCTAACAAAATTTAGCCACTCACGAATCAAAATTTGATGAATGATGACTTATCAATTTATGAAAGCATTATTTTTATCGCTTACAGTACCATTTGTGCTATGTCGAGTAGTATTTTTAAATTAAACACACTGATCATCATCTAATATATATATATATATATATATATATATATATATATTGAATTTGTGCTAAATCTTTTAGCAGGATAAAGTTGAGACTTGTTTATTGGAATTTTTTTGATCTAAAAATCATTCTATGATCCAAGGTGATATTTGGAAACATCATGCCAGTTTCCGAAACGGCCATTAATCGGCAAGATCTTATAGTCAAGCTTTATCGTCGCATCTATCACACTACCTGAACTACTCAGGCAGTCCAATTCAAGTTGTTCTACTGTTTAAAAATCCCCCTTTCTCCTTAGAGTCTATAGCACTAACTACTCGACCATCATCAATGTAAAATGTTATTATTATTATTATTATATCAAATGGCAGGCGTTTTGATTGTTATCATTAGCTCTTTAGTTGAATTCAGTCTTCACAGAGGGGAAGGAACATCAAAGTGTAAAAAATTCAAGAGAGGGGGGGGGGGAACAGAAGAGTGTATCAAAGACGAAGGTAGATAAGGTGGAAAAAAGGTGGGATGAGTACTGTGAAAGTAGTCGAATATGACATACAGTGGGGTCATGGTAGTTTGAAGTCAACTGCAAGGTAATAGACCTTTTTGCCGTATGAGTATACGTTGCCCACGGTGCACCACGTGGAGGTTAGTCCATTACACCCCTCAATGTAAAATGTATTTTATGTTAGTAACAACCTCTATCGAGAATCCCTAGAAAGTAGTTTTTTAGCTTAACGAAGACCAACTGAACTGTTAAGGTGAAATGAAGAATATGTTGTCTTGCTTTGCCCTAAGTATGTAAATTTAGAAGGGGTTTTTATCTATTAAATAACAAAATGTATACGAGGTATTTGCACTGAACAATCACCTATGTAGAGGGCGTGCGATCGACTTACCTCCACGTGGTGCACTCTGTACAACATGTACTAATACGCCAAAAAAGTCTATAAATAGGCAGTTGACTTCTTACTTCAAATTACCAAGACCCGAATCTATGCCATATTCGATAACTTTCACAGTACTCATCTTACCTTTGTGTCCGTCTCAATTACATCTGCGAAGCACTCATCTGTTCCCCCACTCCACCTTTTGTGACTTTAATGTTCCTCCCTCTGTGAAGCCTAAAGCCAACTAAAGAGCTAATGATAACCAACAAAAAGCCTGCCTTTCAATATAAATAAATAATCTATGTTGGACTTATGAAGGTTTTTGTCGAAAAGATATTTCTTTGACCAACATCCCACCTTAATACATATTGCCTTGAAGATATAAGGAGTTACTTACACAAAGACAATAATCTGCGTTGATTTAATGCTCAAGAAAACAGCTTTTGGTAAGATGAGGGAAGGGCTCCATAATTACAACCATCGGGGTGAAATTTATGTACAAATCTGAAGGAACTGGGAAATAAGGGGGAGGTGGGGAGGTGGGGAGGCGGGGAGGAGAAAGCAAACTCGATGCACATTAGTGCTCACTACAGTGACTGTCGCTACAACTAAAACTGCACAAGAAGATGAAAAGACGGGACGATTGGAAGGAAGATGTGTCATGTTTTTTGATACCCCAGGAATGAGTAATGCTTTTTGAGGTGCTGAAGGAAACTAATAGGGAATTGGAAAAATATACCGACCGGATGGGAGATCATCTTTATTACATCTGTTAAAGGAGAGATATTTGCTCTGCCGAAAAATCACTTTTAACACCATTTAGCATGGCAGAGCATCTTCTAAATCTCTCTGGCGGTATCTGGGTGGGTTTGAAATCTCGGGCCTTTGTCCATGTCCTTAGATTAGTTGGATCGCTAGTCGATGTTGGCTGAGGACTTCTGCTGTATTCTGCACTAAGATTGGGAATATAAGAGTCGTAATAACTTCGGGTACTAGCAAGACTTTCTCTTCGACTCATAAGCCTTGAAGGTCGGGGAGGGTTATTTTCCAAAAGATCATCAACCTCAGTAGTTGTAGATACCGGAAAAAAGTGTTGGGGAGTGGACAAAGGCGGATTTAGGGTGTCAGTTAAAGCTGGAGATAATTTATAGTCTAATTCATCGTCATTCGATTTGGTTTCTTCTTTGGTGAGGGATTTCGCTGGCGAGCTTTCAATTTGCACATTTGGAGTTTCAATTGTACTAGCAATGCTGGGGGAATTGATATGGTAATGACTCAATCCTCGCGATTTCTGACGTGGCCGACGTTTTCCACTTGATATGCTGGAGATTGAATTAGTGTAGCTTGTGCCTGATTTCCTGGGAAGACCAAATTGGTGGGAGAAGTTCTCTGTTCTAAGTCGCGTATTAATATCTGAGCACTGAAAGCGAAGAATGTACAGAAACGGCATCCGAAATTCACGATTGAATAGTGCGTAAATTAGCGGATTTAGGAAGCTATTTCCATATCCTAAAGATATTTATAAAATTATATTTAAATATAAAGAAATATAAATAAGAAAATAGTGACTGTACGATAATTAAGGTAGAGAAAAATGGAAAATATGAAAAAAAGTGTTTTTTTCATTTACCATTCAGGACAATTTAATATCAATTTAAAATTTAGAATTCATTTATAAATTTACCTTACATGCAATTTTTCAGCAAACGATATGGCAAAATTGGGCATGTTTTGTTCACTGTAAGCAACGATTTTATTTTACAGATTGAAAATATGCATGAAGTGGATTTTTCATTTAGTCGGCTTCCGTAGTACTTGCGATTTTCACACTGTTTTGACAATTGGTTTTTATTAACAATTTCTATACCTTTTAATTTCCCTTCCGTACCTGGGTGAAAATTTTTTTGGGATTTTAAGCTTAATAACACAATTTCAATACATCTATTAACTTTAGAATGCAATACATCATCGATGAAGAAGTGGTAGGACTTATTCTTGAAGTATTAGACCGATTTCAACGCAATCTGATCTGCATGCGGTGGATTCTCTTAACGCTAATCAACAATAATTACTCAAAGCGTCTGACATGACTTAATTATTCCCTCAAAAATAAGACATTTGCGCTCCAACGCAACTTCCTATTAAGATGTAATGACATAACCAGAGTTTTTTAATTCAAAATGGATCATTAAATGATCATGGTGCAATGAGAGAATGGTAAATCCGTTCATCACATTTTAAAAATTATTAAAAATTATGTAAATTACAAGTCGAATGAATCCTAAGAAGTGACGTTTTAAAGCGCATTGATTTCAAATCATAATTTGATTATTGGAAATAAGGAAGAAACTCGATAAAATGTACCATTAAAGATTTCAGTCAGATAATTGTATATTTTAGATACTTCATTTTTACAAATGAGCGTATGTAAATCATTTCAAATTCGCCTCTCTTGAGATCTAATTCCAGACTCCAATTTCATTGGCTAAGCTCCACTGATTGAATGTGTGATTCATGGGTATCAATACATATAATCTACTCTCGTTAAATATGACGTCACAGATGGAAAATTTTTCAACCTTTCAGTAGCAAAATAGCATCTGAACACACCAAATGACTAAATAGTTTGCTATTGGTTGAAATGAAGGGTCAAGTTGGATGCCAAAACCCTCAGTCCTTAAGCGTACCAATTTGCAGACACGTTCTCCGCACATTTCACAGCTCAATTATAATGCCCTGACAATTTTCAAGAAGTAACATATGAGTGCGCTGAAAATCACTAGGATTTAGATACTATTAACGAAATTTTAATCATAACTGTTCCCTTTTTAATGGCTTAGTGCACAAATGTGGCTTCTGATCAGCCAGCACCTAAGACAATACTCATTACTAATTGTAGAAACAAGAGTAAAGCCAAATTTAACCATTATCTAGATCTTAAGATTAGAATTTATATATTGGCCCTACCATGTTGCTCATAAGTTGACACCTTCCTTCTAAAATGAATATTATAAAATTCACCAAAGCAGCTAGTAGCTAACAGGTCTGGAAAAATAAAGATAGAAGTTACGCTGTCATTCCATCGGAATATTTCTTAAATTCAGGTACAATTTTTCACGTACCATTAAGTTACTGTACACCGAAACTGGATTGAAAATATGCAAATGAATTCAAACTTTTGATCATGCAAATCATTATGCGACACACTATGGTAAGGAGTTATGGGTGCTCTCAAAATTGCGGAAATGAAGTCTATGTGAGCACCAAGACTCCAGTAACATGAAAGCTTTAAAGAACTCACGGTTTCGAATCCGTTATCCTCCAACATAACTTGTTGATAAATCATATCTTAGATACTATGCCTTGTAGAAACGGGCTTAGGTAAAAGCTGGAAGTTCATGATCTTTCATTTGTAATCTATATCAATTTGACAAAATGAAAAGTGATTAATGATTAATATGATGCTAAAGATTTTCGGCTTTTGTTATTCATCAATCCCATCTTCCTACAACTTTACCTAAGATTCTCAAACGAATGTCATTCAAGCCTCAAATAAAGTTCCTTTGAAATTAATAGTGTATAAAACTACGAGTCGATTTCCGTGTGAATGGAAATCTGTGGATCTAACTTTATATCCCAATAGGTAATACCTTTAGGCGTGTGAGTGAAAAGTAGCATTGGATTTTGCCTTAACTCTTGAAAATGTCTCAATTAAATTACGACGCCTGAGTTATTTATGTATAATTGAATTTGATTTGACATAAAAATAGGACTAAAAGCCATTTTTAAAAAATGCTTCAAATCTAATCAGATTATCATAATTTGTAGAGGGAATCTAATAGAAATCGAATTTAGATAAATAATTTCAGATTAATTATTAGCGTAAAATTTTAATAAATTATTTATACCCAGAGGTAAGTGGAGTTTAACAAGGTTACGCAATGACCCTGTTCCAAGAAAAATGACAACTTCATTCTATTCAATGATTTGAATTTTTTAAATTAGGTTAAAATATGTTGATTGGGGAGTAAGTTTTATTTTTCTGATCCCATTGTTTTGAATTATGAATTAAATTTTATATCCACCACATTACTAAGATTTTCTCCTTAATCAGCAAAAAACTACTTTACACTAATTCTAATCCAATGGACTTTATCTGCTCTTCCAATTTGTTTGATTAAGTGGCCAAAGCATAGGTTGTTTGAAATGGGTAAATGTTTAGAAAATTAATCTGGTAAGATTTAATTTTTTTATTTAAAGTTATTTAAAAGAGTCTAACAGGCATTGTGCATGCAAGCGGAGAATAGTTAAGGATGCCTCTAAGAAAGTCCATTCATGAAAAGTACTCAGAAAATCAATATTTATGATACAATATAAGATATGTGTTATTGTTGACAAGTTCAGTCTATTGGGTTGGAGATAGAAAACTGATTTTAAATCAGTGGGCATATGTACATATATATATATATATAGTAAGGTGTCTTGTGTTCATCCTTCCAAAGAAAATGCAAAACAACGTTTTACATAAATATAAATTTCTGAATGAATGAAAAAATTTAACTTAAAAAATGTGCTTATTTAATTTATCCGATTACTGCCTTGTGAGAAAGACCATTAGAAAGTTTTCCTCCACCTACAACTCACTTCTGCATAGGTCACATTCAAGCGACACAAAGGAGTATCTTACAAAAGCAGACTGTTTAAAATTTTTAGGTTTCAGAGCGACTTTTCTAAAAATTTAATACACTCATCCCTTAGAACTGTACATGATTTTAATAAATACGAACTTTTATTAGTGAAATACTCAAACAACATGCCCCTATGTATTCTACAGGAGGAAATGGAGATGACCCACTTGATTCGGTGTCCAGCTCTAAAGACAACGACGGAAACCCAGAGAAACTGGGAAGCCAGAAGACAGCTAATGAACTGCTATTAATCAACTACTATATACGTTTCCTCCTCCATTTTGAAAGCCGAAGTCAACTCAGGGGCTAATTATAAATATCATAAAGCCTGCCATTTGAAATAATATTAGTGAAATACTTAAAATTGTATCATTATATTTGCACACTGTTGTAAGGATGCACTGGAATCCAGAAGTACTCGAGTTTTCCATAAATTTAGCTTAGATAAAAACTTGATTAGGGTTTGACGCCTAGCAAATCAATTTTTCTAGTGCCTTTAAAAATCTAACTTGTCTCAAGCCTATTTTAAAATTCAGTTTTTCAGTTTGTAACTACTTCTATGGAAAGAGGAAACATGCACCACTTTTTTGTCATCAGAAACGCTTTTTCGCCATATTTACCTTACGCGTTTTAGAAGCACATGCAAATGAAATTTAAATATGATCTTTCGTGAAAACTAAAATGGATGTTTTGTT